TGACGTGACCCGGGAAAGGACAGGTCACCGTGTCCAGAAGGAAGTTGATATGCTCAGGGATGCCACGCTTTGGTTTGACTGCCCCACCTGCTGAGAGAACCCCCTCCATTAATGAGGCCTAGCATCACCTGGGGAAGTTCCCTGACGCCATAGCGTTATGTTGCAGAGCCGGGTCCTCTTGGTTCAGGGTTAAAGAAGGTGTAAAAACCAGACCTGGTACCAGACCTCGGCCTTCTGTACTCAGCTGGGTCCCTGGGTTCCCATCTCAAGACCTGAACTCCTATACCTGAACCTGGCAACTTGAAAGATGCATACTAACTGTGAATTACAGGGAAGACAGAGGCTTGTGGAGGTGGGAAGGGCAAGGTAGGTTTGTGCAGCATACTACAGTGGGGAGGGCATTTGCTGGGCCAGGGACTGGGTTGCAGACCTGGCTGTGCTGATCATTGCTGTTAAGCAAGTTCCTCTGCCTGTCTGGGCCCTATTTACTCCAGATTAAAGGAGAGGTTGGACTCGGATAAAGGATATGTTGAATGCCAACAATGAGCAAGGCATTGTGGTAATTACTGGAGATACAGGTGAGCAAAACGGACAACCCTGATCCTCAAACTTACTGTGTGGAGAGGGGGAAAGATAATTAAAGCACTATCACAAACACATAATTACACATCTACTTTTTAAGAGATTCTTATCCGAGGACATGTTCATTGATTTTCAGAGAGAGGAGAAGGGAGAGAGACAGACACACACATTATTGGTTGCCTCCCATACATGCCCCAATCGGGGATCGCATCCTGGGTATGTGCACTGGCCTGAATCCAACCGGTGGCCTTTCTGTGTAAGAGATGACCTTCCGACCAACTGAGCCACACGGGCCAGGGCTGCACATCTACTCTTAAGAAGTGACACAGGAAACTTACACAGACATTTATTAGAGCCCAGTGTGGGCTTCTGAAGGCTCAAAGTAGAATTTAACTGGGATAGGTAGTCAATGGCCCACAGAGAGGGAGGACAGCAGTGCAAAGATCTGGAAAGTGAACGATAAACATTTATTTTAATCGGATATCATAATAACCCTCAAAATATATAAGGTTGGAAGCTTCAGTGAATTGAATTGAACTTGGGGGGATCTTTGGAAGTCCGTAACTATTTCAGTTCTATGAACATATGTGGTGGCCCCTGACCCAGTGTTCTGACATGAGTGTTCCAAATGATTGTTGAATGTGATGTGAACATTCCAAGTTCCAAGATGCATGTTGGGTGGTAACTGTAATCTGACTTTGATGGATGTCTCCTGGCTGTCTCAGAAGAGCTAAAAATACAATATTAGTGCTCTCTTGAAGCAATCCATGTCTACCTCATTATCCAAGCTTGTTTGCAAAGATAAAGAGATGAAGAGCCGAAATCGGTTTGCCTCAGTGGATAGAGCGTCTGCCTGGGGACTGAGAGGTCCCGGGTTCGATTCTGGTCAAGGGCATGTACCTTGGTTGTGGGCACATCCCCAGTAGGGGGTGTGCAGGAGGCAGCTGATCTATGTTTCTAACTCTCTATCCCTCTCTCTCCCTTCCTCTCTGTAAAGTCAATAAAATATATTAAAAAAAAAAAAAAAAAAAAAAAAAAAAAAAGATGGAGAAGTGGCTTGTAAAGTGCCAGAGGAAGAAATCAAGGAATGGTCACTGTACCTTACAAAAGTACTTGTGTAGAGGGGACACCATGACATGGTAGAAGTGAGATAGCAAGCAGACCCTGCATTGCCCTACATTAGCTGTGTGAACCTGGCACTCAGTCTGAGCAAGTTTCTTGATATAGGCATACTGATTTTTATTGCACTTTATTGCACATCTGAGTTGTATTTACAAATTGAAAGCAAAAGAACAAAAATTGAAGGCAAGACACCACCAGCAAAAAGATTTTGAATCACTTTATTGTGGTAGACGGACTGAATATACAATACCACTGAGACATACCTGTTTATAAACAGCACTAATTATGTGTTACTGACATGGTAAAGAATGGGAAAACATGTGAAAGTTATTTCTAAACTATAAAGTGTCACCCAGCCAAATCAATAATCACCTGCCTCACAGTTCCTTCAGAATTTTACTCTATATGCTCCTTCAAATTATAAAGGAGAGGATTTGACGAATTTTATTTGAATTTGTAGCAGTATGCCAAGTTGCTTTGTTGTATAATTATTTTGAATTCTTTTATTTTAATTAGTTTTTTTTTTTCAAAAGGTGGTTTTAAAATTTCACATGTGGGTGCATTCTGCTTCTTGGAAGCACTTCTGTGTCTTGTCCTTCCCCTTCTTCTTCCCCCAGGCACATTTCCTTTGCCTTTCTCTCCCCTGAACACAGAGGGCTCTTCTTCTGCCCCTGCAACTTGTTTCCTTCGTTTTTTCAGCCCAGCTGGCTCACTTATACCTCTGGAACTTTCTAAATATTTTCTTATAATTTGAAATAAAATTAAAAATATATATATTTTATCGACTTTTTACAGAGAGGACACATCAATGAGAAATATCCACCAGCTGCCTCCTGCACACCCCCTACCGAGGATGTGCCCACAACCAAGGTACATGCCCTTGACCGGAATCGAACCTGGGACCTTTCAGTCCGCAGGCCGATGCTCTATCCACTGAGCCAAACCGGTTTCATCTTGAAAAATTTTTTTAATTAAATTATCTGTGTACATATCTTACCATTGAAATGAAATTTTACAAATGGTTCTTTCCCTATCATTTTTAACTGAGAAGCAGAAAAAAGTAGTCAAAGTTTACAGGAACTTCAGATTTTTTTTTTACTTATCCCACTATGCAACATCTTCAGTGACAGGATTTTTTAAAAGTTGTAGATGGCTTGTCAGAGAGCATTCTGTAGTCTTTTCCTTAAAGTTCTCCAGAACATGGGAAATGAAAGCCTTTGCACCCAATCCTGGCTTCCTGCTGATAAAGGATTATTAAAGGAGTTAGCTAGCTAGCCAACCATGGACATTATGTTTTTAGGATAATTTTAACTGTGGAACTCTTTAGACCAGTGGTCGGCAAACTGCACTCTTGAAGCACATGCAACTCTTTGGCCTCTTGAGTGTGGCTCTTCCACAAAATACCATGTGCAGGTAGGTTCACACGTACAGTGCAATTGAAGCTTCATGGCCCATGCGCAGAAATCAGTTTTCAGCTCTCAAATTTCATTGTACTGTTGATATTTGGCTATGTTGACTCATGAATTTGCTGACCACTGCTTTGGACAGTAATAAAATTACTAGTAAGTAGGGAGTCGTCAGAGTAGGAAACCAGTCACGAAACCAAAGCTGCTGCCTAATTGGCAGGGTTGATTTTGAGGAACACAAGACTTACAGGCCTGCTAGACCTGGGGTCCCTGGTAACTTATGCAGAAAGGAAATATCACATGCCAGCATTGGACATGTTCACTTATTCTGTTCATACCCCAATATGAAGTATTTTGTTAATCCTCACATTTCTCCCGTGGATTTTTAGAGTGGAAGGGAAGGGGAGACAGCAACACTGATGTAAGATACATCCACTGGTTGCCTCCAAATGATTGGGACTGGGGCCAGGGATCAAGCCAGCAACAAAGATACTGGCCTTTGACCAGAATTGAACCCAGGACTCTTCAGTTTCAACAATAGCTAGAGAAAAAACCTTAGTTTGCAGAGCTTTACATCATTGTTCAGATAACTAAAAGATGGGTAGAACTGGACAGGTTTTTTTTTTTTTTAATATATCTTTATTTATTTTTTACAGAGAGGGATAGTTAGAAACGTCGATGAGAAACCGACTATCTGCCTCTTGCACACCCCCTACTGGGGATGTGCCCACAACCAATGTACATGCCCTTGACCAGAATCGAACCTGGGACCTTTCAGTCCACAGACAGATGCTCTACTGCTGAGCCAAACCGGTTTTTTGGCAGTACTGGACAGTTTTATTCAATATGAAATCCCAAGCATTTGCTCAGCTAAGTGATGTCAGTATTCCCACCTCGACATTTGAGGGCTTCCTTTAATCTCCAGCCTCTCTATAACTTCGTGAGGTTTTATGTAGAATGGAGATAAAACAAACTTTGGAGGCAGAACCCCCTTGTAACTCTCCCACTTCTATGACGACTTTCTTCTTACCAACCTGACATGGAGCACCCCCTCCCAATGGGATTGCTGTGTAGAATACTATTTGTATTAGCAGTCCTGACCCTTAGCTGGTGAAAGTTACTAGTAAGTAGGCACTTAGCATGTGGGTGTGGATTAGTCAGCTTTGAGAAGCATTCCTCACTGCTTCACAATGGCCTTTTTCCTATGTAGAAACTGCAAATTTTAATTCACTTTTCTTCATTGTGCCTTCCCTTCCTTTCTCAAGCTCCTAAATTGTTTACTGAACATGCATCTTATTTTGGAGGACTAGCATGTCCTGCTTTTCAACTTCTGAATATCACTAATGAAGACAGAGGGTAAGAACACAATGTTCCAAATGCCTCACACATTATAGATGCTCTGAACAGACTATGTCTTACAAATCCCAGTCCTATGGTGCCCTCACATTTTTCAAAGTGAACCTAGACCTGGCCTGTGTGGTTCGGTCATCCCACACCCCATCAGGGCACATGTGGGAGGCAGCCAATTATGTCTCTCCCTAAAAAAAAAAAGCAGCCAACCTATTCCCACTTTACATTACATGATTGTTCAGTCACACCCCTCACCCCAACAAACTACTTCATCTGGTAACTGCCAGGGTTGTGCTTGGGAATTAGCAAAGAAACTTTCTAAATCTGCTGTCTGGACCCGTCTCCTTGGACTCATTCATGTCCAGGGAACAAACCCTGTAAATCATAATCCTCACTCCCCCACATGTAGTTCTTGCTGTAATGTTAGACGCATTCTTTGTAGTGTCTAGCTTGTGTCATAGCAGAAAAGGTTGAAAGCCAGCATTATAGAAATGAGATCACCTTTATACAGGCACATCCTCAATCAGCAAGCACAACAGCAACAGAGGTCAGCTTTTATTGACTGTGTTACAAAAGAGCCAGTTTAGTCAAAAAGACCAAAGCCCATGTCATCATCAGACTCCTCAGATTCTTCTTTCTTTGCTTCCACTTTCTTCTCCTCAGCTTAAAAGGAGGGGGGAAAAAAGTAAATTACACACTTGTATTTTGCACTCCAAACTTACATGCTCAAAATACCCCCAACTTCCCTCATCAAACTGTTTCTGGTTTTAGGATTTCTAGACATCACCTACTTAGTAAATTAAGGGCAATTTTGCCTATAATCAGTTACCTACCTGGGGCAGCAGCGGTGGAGGCAGCAGGACCTCCTGCTGGTGCAGCACTAGCTGCAGGGGCAGGTCCACCAGCCCCTACATTGCAGATGAGACTCCCAATGTTGACATTGGCCAGAGCCTGCAACACAAATGCATAGAGGTAAGTGCTCAGGTATGTCCCTGTTACAATACCCAGGGGGAAAAAAAAAAAAAAAAAAAAAGTACCACCCTTTGGACTTAGTGACCTACCCCCACCACTATTTATAATAATAAAAGCATAATATGCTAATTAGACCAGTGGGGCTGTTTAAGGGAAGAGGGGGCTGCTGGAGTTGGCCTCCTAGTGTAAACATATATAAATTTCTCTTCCTTCTCCTTTGCTAGAGTCTGCCAGTGACAGCTTGTGTGCCATTCAGATTTCCTAAAACTTAACCCACACAGCTATACTAAAAATAAGCAATCACAAAAAAATTTCAAGCTGTAAATCTCATACTTGCATTGCTATGTTTAAGCAGTAAGGTATAGCTAGCTGAATTCTTTTATAGATGAGAAAATTGGCCCCAAAATGCTGGTTTAAGTTGTTAACACTCAAAGCTCCCTTAAGCCAGGTTTCTCCCCCCCCCCTCAGCTCCATGTCTCTTCAATTTTTCAGACTGCTAAGTAATCCTAGGCAATTTATTAAAGATGATAGAGGAACAATGTTTTCAATCTTTCAAAGCTCTTTGCAGGACACAGGTGAATAGCTAGCATCCAGGAGCTTCACTTGCTGGAGATTCAGTAACCTGTAGAATGGAAGGCAGCCAGTGCCCAATTCCTTGGGTAGGGATCTTGTCTTTTATCTCCCAACACATAGTAAGTGGTCAATAAAAGGCCAAAAAATAACAAACAAAAAAACCCAACAAACAAACAACAACAAAAAATAAAAGGCCAAACCCAATTTCCAATAAAGCATGCTATCACACTACAAGGATTTGCTTGTAATGGCATGGGAGTTAGTTATCTTCTGGGTGGCCGCTTTAAAGGAATCACCTGGTTAATTCTTTTACCAGGGTTGCTAAACAGAAGAGAAGCCCATCTGAGACCAAGAAAGACACAATACAAACGCAAGGAAACGTCACTTAAGAATTGTGTGTTTTATATTGTTATGAACACCTTACTTAGTAATCAGTAAGTCTACCCAAATGTACATCTCCAAATCAAGTTGCCAACATCACTTTACCTTTGCAAACAAGCCTGGCCAGAAAGGCTCAACATTTACACCAGCTGCTTTGATGAGGGCATTGATCTTATCCTCCTAAAACAGATAAAAAAATGATAATCATCAGAGACCAAACGGTAGCTTTCTGAAATGTCTCCAAAAAGTTAAAATAATTCAGAGCATGTGTACCAAACCATGTTTATTATACAGTTTCGGTATTTCATCTGCCATCTTATGTTTTAAGAAGACCATTTCTTACACACTGTGAGAGAACACAGAAATGCCATCTGCTCCTGTGTGGCGAGTTCATCGCTGCCATTTCACGGACTGGGAATTTACCCAAGTCAGGCTATTTTAAGTTACGGGTCAAGCTCATGTGCTCTCCTCCACACCATACAGTCTGGACCCCCCGGGCCCACTAAGAGAACCAAAATAATTCAAAATGATAGTCTGGAATGTTAACTGGCTGCGGATTAGGATGCCCACGCGCCGCACAAGTTTCTCCAAAGGAAAGTTCTCAAAGCCAGAGCCCGCCATCGCCCATGTAATCCCGCCCCTCCCGGATCCGGCACGTGGCCCAGGCCCCGGCCAACTCCCACGTGGGGGCACCCGATGGGCGCGGGCCCCAAGCCGCCCTGCGGGTGTCGAAGGCCCGGACCGCGGCCGGAAGGGCCTGACAGGAGGCCTGGGAAGGCGGGGAAACCTGCCGCCCGCCGGCCGTCCCCACCGTGAGCCCGGGCCCGCACTCACCGTCACCGTCACTTCATCGTCGTGCAGGATGAGGGCCGAGTAGATGCAGGCGAGCTCCGACACGGAGGCCATGGCGAGGGTGGGTGCTGGGCGAGCGCTGCCGGGAACGGTGCTAGTCGCCGGATGAAGTGAGGGCCTCACCCCAACGCGGCCTTAGCTTCCTCGGAAGAACCGAGCACCTTAGCGGCAGCTAGGGAAAGGGGGCCGCGCGCCTGCGCGCGGGCACTTATAAGGGCCCTGCCGACCAATCCGCGCCCGCGTCTGGCGGAAGAGGCGGGGCTGGAGCCGCCCGGAAAGGACCCACTGGAGGCGCCTGCGCAGAAGGCGTGACTCGAGTTCAAGAAGTTGCTACCGGGAGTAACCTGTGCACGCGCTGAGGAACTCCGTTGGTTAGGACTCGTGCACAGTAGTAATATTTTTAGGAAAAAGTTACCTAGGTAAGCGGACGTTACCCTAGGCCCTGTTGCTCCTGTGACACTGTTTAGACCACCATTTAGTGACGTCCCAGCCACCCCCCGTCCCACCCACCTCGCAGCACCATCACCGGAGGCAGAGCCACGTTCCCGCCTGTAGTCCCAGGTTCTTAGCGCAGCGGCTCAGGTGAAATAAGTGAACGGTCGTAGGAGGAAACAAGAAGCTTGCAGTTTTACGATAGCTAATGGCGTTTGGACGCCTGCTATGTCCCAAACACTGAGCCACATGCTACAAGGTTTCATTTATCTCCATTAACTTAACTAAGGTGCAGTAGACCCCGTCACCAGTCTAAGATGACAGCATGCGGTGGGGCCTGGATTTGGAATTTGGAATCTTAATTTAAGCGCCTTTTTGGGAGTGCGGAGAGGGATGGATGGGTTTGGGGATTATGAGTAAATGTTGTCTTCCTTCAGTTTTTATAACTAAGGCGCCCGGTGATTGGGTGGAAATGCCTTGAAACGGCTGCTTGCTTGGTGCGGTGCTGTATTGCACTATTTGTCCTTTGAAGCTAATAAAGCCTCCTTTGGGTTTATATTGAGGGTATTAAAACATTTCTTATGGTGGTACAATTGACATAAAACATTACATTCGTTTAATGCGTACAACATAGTGATCTAACATTTGTATATATTGTGAAATGATCACAATAAATTCCGTTAACGTCATCACCACACATTATTATTTTTCTTTTTAAAGAATCAACACAGTGCTCGCTTTGGCAGCACGTATACTAAAACTGGAATGATACAGAGAAGATTAGCATGGCCCCAGTGCAAGGATGACATGCAAATTCGTGAAGCGTTCCATATTTTTAAAAAACCACCAATACAGAGGTCTTTTATTTACACCTATCAGAGGAAGGAAGGTCTACCTATCAGAGAGGAAGGAAGAAGGAAAGAGAGACAGAAGATAGAAACATCAATGATGAGAGAATCATTGATCAGCTGCTTCCACATGCCCCACACAGGGGATCGAGCCCTAGGCGTTTGTCCTGACGGGGAATTCGAACTGTGACCTCCTAGTTCACAGGTCTACACTCAACCACCGAGCCACGCCAGATGGCAGTAGTTCTACTTTTAATTTTCTGGGAACCTCCATACTGTTTTCCATAGTGCCTGCAACAGTGCATCACATTTTTCTTTTCTTTTCTTTTTCTTTCTTTCTTTCTTTCTTTCTTTCTTTCTTTCTTTCTTTCTTTCTTTCTTTCTTTCTTTCTTTCTTTCTTTCTTTCTTTCTTTCTTTCTTTCTTTCTTTTTCTTTCTTTCTGTCTGTCTTTCTGTCTTTCTGTCGTTCTTGTCGTTCTTGTCGTTCTTGTCTTTTTTTCTGTCTTGTCTGTCTGTCTTTCTGTCTTTCTGTCGTTCTTGTCGTTCTTGTCGTTCTTGTCTTTTTTTCTGTCTTGTCTTTCTTTCTTTCTTGTCTTTCTGTTTTCTTTTTCTCCACAACCTGCCCACCACTTATTTCTTGTCTTCTTCTCTCTTTTAAAAAAAATAAATTTATTAAATTTTTTAAAATAAATCTTTATTGTTGAAAGTATTAAATATGTCTCTTTTACCCCTTTTGGCCCCCTCCAGCCTGCTCCCTACCCAGGGTCTTCACCCTATTTCTGTGTCCATGGGTTATGCATATATGCATACAAGGTCTTTGGTCGATTACCTAACACCCACCCACCCTCCCCCACCTTCTCTCCAAGACTTTGCTCTCTGTTTGATGCTTCCAAGTCTCTGGATCCACTTTGCTCATTATTTTATTTTGTTAATTAGATTCCACATATGAGTGATATCACATGATACTCATCTTTCTCTTACTGACTTATTTCACTTAATATAATACTCTCCAGGTGCCAACATGTTGTCTCAAAGGGTAAGATTATTCTTTTTTTACTGCTGCATAATACTCCATAGTATAAATGTGCCAAAACTTTTTATCCACTCATCTCCTGATGGGCCCTTGGGCTGTTTCCAGATCTTAGCTATTGTAAATTGTGCTGTTCTGAACATAGGAGTGCATACATTCTTTCTGATAGCTGTTTCGGATTTCTTAGGATATATTCCACTGGGTCAAATGGCAGTTCCATCTTTAATTTTTTGAGGGAACTCCATATTGTTTCCATAATGGCTGTACCAATCTGCATTCCCACTAGCAGTGTACTAGGGTTTCCTTTTCTCCACATCCTTGCCAGTACTTGTCATTTGTTGATTTGTTGTTGGTAGCCATTCTGACAGGTGTGAGGTGATACCTCATTGTCGTTTTAATTTGCATCTCTCTGGTTATCAATGACTTTGAGCATTTTTTCATATATTTTTAGACCATCTGTATGTCCACTTTGGAGAAGTGTCTATTTAGGTTCTTTGCCCATTTTTAAATTGGATTGTCTTCCTTTTGTTAAGTTGTATGAGTTCTTTATATATTTTGGATAGTAACCTTTTATCAGTATCATTGCCAAGTGTGTTCTCCCATACAGTGGGCTCCCTTTTCATCTCATTGATGGTTTATTTTGCTGTGCAGAAGCTTTTTATTTTTATGTTGTCCCATTTGTTTATTTTCTCTTTAGTTTACTTTGTCCTAAGAGATGTATCCATAAACATATTGCTTCAGGAGGTAGCAATAAGGTATCACCTCACGCTTGTTGAGATGTTGCTGCGTGTTTCTTCTAGGATTTTTATGGTTTCACGACTTACATTTAAGTCTTTTATCCATTTTGAATTCATTATTGTGTTTGCTGGAAGTTGGTGGTCTAGTTTCAGTTTTTTGAAGGTATCTGTCCAATTTTCCTAATATTATTTATTGAAGAGACTGTCTTGAGTCCATTGTATGCTCTTGCCTCCTTTGTCAAATATTAATTGAACACAATAGCTTGGGTCAATTTCTGGGGTCTCTGTTCTGTTCCATTGATCTATTTATCTGTTCTTGTGCCGGTATCAGGCTGTTTTGATTATGGTGGCTTTGTAGTATAACTTGAAATCTGGTATTGTGATTCCTCCAACTTTGTTCTTGTTTCTCAAGATTGCTGCTGCTATTCAGAATCTTTTTTGATTTCATATAAATTTTTGAAATATTTGTTCTAGATATGTGCAATATGCTGTTGGTATTTTATTTCTTTATTTTTTTAAATAAAATTTTTAAAAATATATTTTATTGATTTTTTACAGAGAGGAAGAGAGAGAGATAGAGAGCTAGAAACGTCGATGAGAGAGAAACATCGACCAGCTGCCTCTTGCACACCCCCTACCGGGGATATGCCCACAACCAAGGTACATGCCCTTGACCAGAATCGAACCTGGGACCCTTCAGTCCCCAGACTGACGCTCTACCACTGAGCCAAACCGGTTTCGGCTTAAAATAAATTTTTATTGTTCATATTATTACAAATGTTCCTTCCCCCCCCTCCACATTGCTCTTCTCCACCAGGTTCCCATCCCACCCTCTGCCCTTTCCCCACCCCCATTGTCCTCATCCATAGGTGCACAGTTTATGTTCAGTCTCTTCCCACATCCCACTCTCTCCTTTTCCCCAAGAATCGTCAGTTCTCTCCCCTTCCATACCCCTGATTCTATTATATTCACCAGTTAATATTGTTCATCAGATTTTTTTTTAATTTCCTTGGTTTTTAGATTCACTTGTTGATAGTTACGTATTTGTTGTTCATAATTTTTATCTTTATTTACTTTCTCTTCCGAAAGAACCCCCTTCAGCAATTCATATAATTCTGGTTTGGTGGTGATGAACTCCTTTAGCTTTTTTTTATTAGTGAAGCTCTTTATCTGGCCTTCGATTCTGAGTGATAGCTTGCTGGGTAGATTATCTTTGGCTGTAGGTTCTTACTATTCATCACCTTGAATATTTCTTGCCATTCCCGTCTGGCCTGCATGGTTTCTGTTGAGAAATCAGCTGACAGTCGTATAGGTCAGGTGTCGGCAACCTATGGCTCTAGAGCAGCATGCAGCTCTTTTGAAGCTTTGCCGTGGCTCCGACAGCAGGGCCGATAGCAGGGGGAGCAGGGAGCTGTATCACTTACCTCCGCTGCCTCCGGCGCTCCCAGCGCTCTGTGTGGCAGGTTGCCGGCGACTTAGCGTCGCTAGGCAACCACAGTGTCCCTGTCCTGGCCCAGCGTCCTCCCTCACATCACAGCGTGTGATGTCACTGAGCATGCACCTCTGCGCTGGGGAGGAGGAGACTGCTGCGAGGGGAAAGAGAGAGTCTTCACAGAGAGAGGCATGTCTTTAATTTTCTGCACAATTTCATTCAAAATATTGGGGGCCTAATGAATTGTGTTTTTTTTTTAAAAGGTGACTTGTTAATTTAATGTTTATTTCTATGAGGAGGAGTAATTCTGAGGGGGTCAAACAAAGAAATAATAAAAAAAAAAGTGGCAAAAATTATTTTTATGATGAGGAAGAGTAATTCTGAGGGGTTTGGAAAAGAAATAATAATAAAAAAGTGAAAAAAATATTTTTATGATGAGGAGGGCTTCTTGAGGGGGTCAGGAAAAGAAATTATTACCAAAAAGTGACAAAAAAAGTTATTTTTATAATGACGAGGATGACATTGGGCCCTCATTATTAATTATTATTTACATCAGGCACTGATTATGATTTATGGTACACTGGGGCCGTGATTAATTTTGTGATTTCTTATTACGTCCCTGTTTTCGACCCCCCGGTAGGCCAGCCATGGATAAAGGCAAGAAGAGAAAAATTTCTGAAGAAAACAGAGTGTTTAATGATACATGGGCTGAATCATTTGCATTCTCTACTGACGAGACTGGTTTACCAGTATGCTTAATATGTGGTGAGAAATTTGCAAACAACAAAATGTTGAATGTTGCAAGACATTTCCAGAATAAACACACAGCCTTTACTGAAAAATATCTAGATGGAGATGAGAGACGAAAAGCCGTTGCAGAAGTTATGAGGAAGGTTGATAGGAGCAAAAATAATTTCAAGAAGTGGGTGAAGTCTGCAAATTCCACAACATATGCTAGTTTTGTGGCTGCTCAGGAAATAGTCAAGCATGGGAATCCGTTCACAGATGGAGAGTATATAAAAGAAGCATTCATTAAGGTTTCAGAACATCTATACAAGGACTTCAAAAACAAGAATGAAATTGTGCAGAAAATTAAAAGACATGCCTCTCTCTGTGAAGACTGTCAAAGACAGAACCCTAAAAATGGCAGAAAACATTAGCAAACAGCAAATTCAAGACATCAGTTCAGCTGTGGCGTACTCCATCGCCTGTGATGAGTCCAAAGATAAAGGTGATATTGTACAAATAGCGCTGTTCTGCCGATATGTGAACTCTTGGGCCACAGGAAGAACTGATTGAGCTGATACCACTAAAAGACCGAACAAGGGGTGAGGATATCTGTAAGGCTGTCCTGGACTATTTAAGTGCTGAAAAAATAAACACCAACCACCTGGTCTCAGTGGCTACTGATGGGGCACCGAGCATGAGAGGAGCACAGAAGGGCTTTGTGGCTCTACTGCAGAAGGCTCTGGGTAGAACGCTGCTGTCATTTCATTGCATCCTGCACCAAGAGGCATTGTGTGCTCAAACATTTCCCCCAGAATGCACAAAAGTGATGGATGTGGTCATTCAGATTGTTAATAAGATAGTGGCAGAGGGTTTAAACCACTGCCAGTTCCGTTTGCTATTGGATGAGGTGGAAAGCATATATTCTGACCTCCTGCTCCACAACAAGGTCCGGTGGCTATCCAGAGGCGAGGTGCTAAAATTCTTTGTCACATGTTTGGAAGAAGTAAAAACTTTCCTGGCCAGCAAAGAGCTCACCTTTGCTGAGCTGGAACAACCAGAGTGGCTGGAAAAATTACATTTTATGGTAGACATGACAGCACATCTAAACACACTAAATACAACCCTTCAGGGGAAAGGAGGCACAGCCCTGCACATGCTGGAGGAGGTTTTAGCATTCGAGCGCAAGTTGACAGTGTTTGTCAAAGATTTACAGAGAGGTACACTGTCTCACTTTCCCTCTTTGAGAGAGTTCAAAGTCATGATACGATAAATTTGGAATATTTGAAGTCTGCAATCACCACAATGCAAAGTTCGTTTGGGAAACGATTCTATGAGTTCAGAGAGGAAAAAACCACATTATCCTTCCCTGTCACTCCCCTGGCGATCGATCCATCCCTATTGAATATGACTGCATTTGCAGGTGTAAGTCAACCTGATCTTGAGATGGAACTGGCCGATATAGCCAATAAAGATATATGGGTGTCTAAATTCAAATGCTTGACCGCTACTCTTGAGGATGTTGCCTGTCAGAAGGCCACTCTGGCTCAGAATCATAAATGGAGTGATATTGAAAACCTTCCCAAACAGGACAAACCTGTATTCGAAACATGGAATGCCGTCCCCAACACTTATATAAACATGAAAAAGTATGCATTTGGAGTCCTGTCGATCTTCGGCTCCACATATGTATGTGAGCAGGTCTTCTCCAACATGAACTATATTAAAAACAAACCGGTCACGCCTCACAGATGACAACTTGCAAGCCTGTGTGAAAATGAAGGTAACGTCTTACAGCCCTGATGTGCTGACACTGTACACTGAGGTTCAGGAGCAAAAATCCCTTTAACCAGGTAAATTAAATATTTTAATTAGCTATTAATTTGCAAAAATCTATTTTACATTGTTAAGTGAAAAAGTCCTTTTTTTCTTCAGATTGACAGCTAACTGCACGATCCGGTATATAGCATTAAGGTAAGAAACAATATATGCAGTGTTATATTTGTTTTAAATGTCGCAATGGTTTTACAGCTCCCAGGTTTTTTTTTTTCCTTCAGAAACGGGTCCAAGTGGCTCTTTATGTCTTAAAGGTTGCAGACCCCTGGGAGGTATTTACCTGTGCAGCCATCTTGGATTTTCCTCCTTTTATTTCCGCTGTTGGTATTTTAATAGGGATTGCTTTGAATTTGTAGATTGCCTTGGGTAGTATGGACATTTTAATTATGTTGATTCTACCAATCCATGAACACAGTATTTTCTTCCACTTGTTTATATCTTCTTCTATCTCATTTTTCAACATCTTTCTGAGTACAGGTCTTTTGCCTCCTTGGTTAAGTTTGTTCCTAAGTATCTTAATTTTTCTGTTATAATAGTAAATGGGATTGTTTGTCTAGTTCTCTTTTTGAGAATTATCAGTCTTCTTAAATTTGCTACAGTTTGTTTTGTGCCCTATTATATGATTTATCCTGGAAAATATTCTGTGTGCACTGGAGAATGTGTATTCTGCTCCTGTTGTATGGAATGTTCTATTTTTGTCTGTTAAGTCCATTTGTTCTAGAGCACATGTGTCAAACACAAGGCCCGCGGGCCAAATCCGTCCCGCCAGGCCGTGCAATGTGGCCCGCACCGCGCTGTCATCACTGCACTCCGCTGCGTTTCCATCACAATGACAGTTTATGACTGTTCAGTAAACCATTCGGCCCGCGATTTAGGCTGGATTTTAGATTTTGGCCCCTTCTCTGATTGAGTTCGACACCCCTATGTATGCTTCAATTTCATTTCCTTGATTTTCTGTCTGGATGATTTATTCACTGCCGAGCTTAATTAGTGTCTTTTCACTTCAGCTTGAATAACTTTTAGCATTTCTTGCAAGGCAGGCCTAATGGTGGTGAATTCCCTTTAGTTTTTGTTTGTCTGGAAAAGCCTTTATTTCTCTTTCATATCTGAAGGATAACTTTGCCAGATGAAGTATCCTTGGCTGGCAATTTTGCTTCATGCTTTGAATATGTCATTCCACTCTCCTGCCTATAGACTTTCTGCTGAGAAACCTGCTGACAGCCTAATGGAGGCTCCTTTATAGGCTACTTTCTCATTTTCCTTGACTGTCTTTAAGATATTTTTCTTTACCATTGATTTTCAACTTTCATTATAATGTCTCTTGGAGATGGTATTTTTAAAATATTTTTTTATTGATATCAGAGAGAGAGAGGGAGAGATAGAACCATCAATGATGAGAGAGAATCATTGATCAGCTGCCTCCTGCACATCCCCCAGGCATATGCCCTGACCAGGAATTGAACTGTGACCTCCTGGTTCATAGGTTGATGCTTAACCACTGAGCCATGCCAGCTGGGCTTTTTTGCATTGAGAAAGTAAGGGGTTCTATTAGCTTTTTGGACTTGTCTGTTCAATTTATTCCCCACAGTTGGGAAGTTCTCAGCTATTATTTTTCTAAATACACTCTGCTCCCTTCTCCTCCTGGTAGACCAGTGATCCTTATTTGTTTTTCTCATTGTTATCATAGAGCTCTTATAAAGTTCATTTTCTAAAAATCTTAGTTTGCTCTCCTTTCCTGAGTCATTTCTAAATTCCCATCCTCCAAGTCAGAATGCTTTTTGTGATCTGATCTGCCCATTTCCTAAGCTCTCTAATGCATTCTTCATTTCATTCATTCACTTTAGCTCCAGAATTTGTTTGCTTCCCTCCTTTTATTGAATTTATTGGGGTGACACTGGTTAAGAAAATTCTACAGGCCTCAATTGCACAATTTTAAAACATATCATCTGAAAACTGTATTGTGTGTTCACCACCCTGTCTGCTTCTTTTTAAAAATTTCAATCTTAGGCACAGAAGGCCTTTTGTTCAATAATTTTATTCCTAAATTCATTGGGATGCCCTTCTGACTTTTCTAGTAGCTCATTGAATCTCTTCAGCTATTTTTAGATAGGTCAGTTAGATCAGCGTTTTTCAACCGCTGTTCCGCGGCACACTAGTGTGCCGCGAGATGTTGCCTGGTGTGCCGTAGGTGCAGACAAGACAAGAATTTTATACAATAATTTTTCACTATTTTGTTTACTTAATATTTCATAATAAAGTAATTATAAAATACTTTCTTTGTGTTTATTTGATTCCTATTCAAGAGAATTACTTTATATATAGTCAATATAGGCACAGAGTTAAATTTTTTAACATTTTCTAATGGTGGTGTGCCTCGTGATTTTTTTCATGAAACAAGTGTGCCTTTGCCCAAAAAAGGTTGAAAAACACTGAGTTAGATCACAATATTCTGCTACCTTGGGTTCAGGTGCTGGAGAATTATCATTTTCATTTTGCGATACCATATTACCATGATTTTTTCCTGATGTTTGACAAGATGTGTCTCATCTGTTGCATTTGAAATAGCACACATCTTTCTTAGTTGTTCACCTTGTTATACAATACAAAACAGGCAATTAGGAACCTTTTCTTTTCCAGAAGGTGGCGCAATAGCTTAAGTTTTTGGTTTCTCTTTTCCTGAGTTGGCTCTGAGGCTGGCTGCACTGGGGGAGGAGTATAAAAACGCTGGTGTAGGAAAATCTGGAGTAGAGTTAAGAGAAGTAAGGGCCTTAGCTGGTTTGGCTCAGTGGATAAAGCATGGATCTGCGGACTGAAAGGTTCCAGGTTCAGTTCCAGTCAAGGACACATGCCTGGGTTGTGGGCTCGATCCCCATTGGGGGGCATGTAGAAGGCAGCCAATAAATGATTCTTTCTCATCAGTGATGTTTCTATCTCTCTCTCCCTTTCCCTTCATTTCTGAAATCAATAAAAACATATTTAAAAGAAAAAAAGAGAGAAGTACAGGGTTAGCATCTGGGGTTCTGTGTTGCCCACAGCTCAGGAAGGGGTCCCCCAATGGATGTACTTTGAGAAGTTTGTGCAGATCCCTACTGAAACCGAAAGGTTTTTTTCAATACACTTTCTCCTTGTTTATGGCCTTCCCTTTCCTCTCCTTCCACACAGTCATGAGATAGATCCCTCCTCAGTTACTCCTGCTACTGAAGAGAAATGGATATTCCCAGTCCCAGCCCCGTGATCAGTTACTCAATACTTTCTCCTTCCACTTCCTTTGTGAGAAAGGTAGCTGTTGTCACTGCTGGTGAAAGCCTAGCTTGTTACCCTGTCACCTGGGGAGGAGGACTGACTTCTTGAGTTACTTCTCTGCCTCCAAACTGATCTCTATTCCATTTGATGACATGCCTGGTTCTCCCATGAGGCTGGCTGGATTTCCACAAATTCTCTACCTCCCTTGTGTGTTCACCTGTTTTGCACTCTCCAGTTTAGCTCCCCTCCTAACCCCGCTTCACTGCAAGTGGGGGTGGAGCAGGCTTACTGGCGCCCTTGGATCCAAAGCCCCCCTCTGAGGTCCTACCCACCTACTTTCTTTTTTTTCTTTTTCTTTTTAAAAAAAAATATTTTATTGATTTTTTTACTGAGAGGAAGAGAGAGGGATAGAGAGTTAGAAACATCGATAAGAGAGAATCATCTATCAGTTGCCTCTTGCACACCCCCTACTGGGGATGTGCCCACAACCAAGGTACATGCCCTTGACCGGAATCGAACCTGGGACCTTTCAGTCCGCAGGCCAACACTCTATCCACTGAGCCAAACTGGTTTCGGCCCCACCTACTTTCTGAAGCATGAGGAGGTAGAAATCTCTTGGGTGTTCTGGTGTAATGAGCAAAGACATTTTTGTACAATTATGAACAACCAATTAGTTGTAAGTAAAAGGGAAGAAAAAACTGGACTCATGCTGCCATGATACTGATGTGTCTATCCTATCTAATAAAGAGGGAATATCGAATATCCTAATTGACCTCACGCCATTGCAAAGATGGCAGCGCCCACAGCCAAGAAGGAGGGAATAAGCTAATTGACTACCCCACCCTCAAAGATGGCAGCACCCATAGCCAATAAGGAGGAAATACACTAATTGACTGCCATGCCCTCAAAGATGGTGATGTCCACTCCCCTCTGCCCCCCAGCCTCCCAGGGCTGGCCCAAGGCACAGGCAAGCCTCATTGATGGCTGCCCGGACACAGGGCTGCTGGAGGCTCAGGTAACCAGGGCCAGCTGAGGCTTGCGCTGGCCGCAGTGGCAGCAGCAGAGGTGTGATTGGGCATCACCTTCCCCTGATCACCGGGTCGCTTCCCATTCCTGAGGGCTCCTGGACTGTGAGAGGGAGCAGCTGGGCTGAGGGACACCCCCTCCAGTGCATGAATTTTCATGCACTGTACCTCTAGTTTATTACATATGGGTTTAAGTTACATATAATATCAAGAATTAAAATATTTCATACCTGGAAGCTTCAGTAAGTCACCTATATTAATTTAAAAAGAGGAGGGGGGGATTCCAGGTCAAACACTGTGTATTTAAGGATTTGTTGTAGTAAAATATAGAAAGGTTTTAAAATGCCAAAAAAATGTTAAAACTTTTTTTTTAATATATATTGATTTTTTTACAGAGACGAAGGGAGAGTGATAGAAACATCGATGAGAGAGAAACTCGGATCAGCTCCCTCCTGCACACCTCCCACTGGAGGTACATGCCCTTGACTGGAATAGAACCCGAGACCCTTGAGTCCGCAGGCAGATTCTCTATCCACTGAGCCAAATCGGTTAGGGCTAAAAAGGTTTTAAAAGGTTTGAGTTAACTTTCCTGAAACTTAAAGTGTGATATTGAGGACACACTCCCCAGTACCCTGAAGCTTGTGTATTCCATTGATAAGGATTTGAACTTAGACTGTTGACTTAGAGTGACTTGCCCTGATAACCATATGTCTGATGACATATACTCCTCTCCCTCCCCAGAGTGAAACCGAGTGCTTACAAGTACCCATTGGAACTAATGTTAAACTTGAGCTCTTGTTATGCATTTTGTTTACCAGAATCTCTCTACTCCCCCCTGGACTGCCATGGGTACTACAGCTATTTAAAGGGTCCCCGAACACCATTTGAGTTGATCGTTGCTTGATTACTGGACCCCTGATGGTCGTTGATTGCTTTGATCCCTGCACTGCACTGGTGGCTCTGATCGCTGGAAGTTTCCTTCTCTGATGGCTTTCAGTTTAGGTGCAGTCCCCCAACCTACTCTGCTCAGCTCCACTCTGTGCCAGAAGACAGATGATTGATCTGCATTGTGCACAGGAATCTCTGAAGGCAATGCCACCCTGAAATTGAAACTTAGTTCCTGACCTGACCAGCCAGCCAGCGAAGGCGTCAGTGCTGCCCCCAGAGGAAGCAGCCACACTCTGGGAGCTCCCTTTAAGCTGTACCCACTGCAGTGATAAAAGGAGAATAAATTGTATGTGAATTGCCATGGTAACTATTTGTGGCATAATTCCTCGGCAGTAATAATTATACTAATGAAATTGCCTGACACGGTCCTACCTGCATAGAGTAGTCTTTTTGCTGGCAACTATGAATGTCCGAACACTTGCAAGGTTAAAGTTTACCTCAAGGGATGCCTCAGATAAATGCCCCTCCTTTCTCGGACAGGATTGCCTATGGGCATGGCATAGCGGGTTATGAATGTTGATTTGGGGTGAATTTCTGGTTCTTGGCAGGAGAAATACCCCCTTTCAAAGCCATTTCTTTGTGTGCTAAAACAAGTAGTCCCTATGTGAGAGAAAACTCTAGTGTTTTAATTCATTCCACTTTTTTTTTGTTAATCCTCACCCAAGGGTATTTTTTTCTCCATTGATTTTTAGAGTGGAAGGAGGGGAAGAAACAAGCATTGATGTGAAATAGACACATCAATTTGTTGCCTCCCACATGTGCCCCAACTGGGGCTGGGGATTGAGGCTGCAAACCGAGGTATGTGCCCTTGTCTAGAACTGAACCTATAACCATTTAGTCTGTGGGCTGACACTAACTAGTCAGCAAACCCAACTAGGGCCATTTATTTGTCTATTAATTAAATTGGTTGGGGTGACATTGGTCAACATGAACATACAGGCTTCACGTGTGGATTTGTTACAAAATCTATATTGCACCATGTGCCCACTACCCAAAATCTCCTGTCACCTATTAGGACTCCCTTATTCCCCTACCCCTTCCCTCTGGCAACCACCACACTGATGTTTGTGTTCATGTTTCAGTTTTATGACCCATATATGGTTCTTAAGCTTTTTCTGACATTTCATTTAGCAAAATGTACTCAAGGTCCATCCATGCTGTTGCAAATGGTGCCTTTCAATATTCCATTGTGTGTATGTACCACATCTTTACCTAGTCTTCCATCGCATAACACTATGGTTGTTTCCATGTATTGGCTACCACGAACAATGCTACAATGAACATAGGGATGTATATATCTTTGCAAATAAGTGATTTCAAGTTTTTCAGGTATATAACTAGGAGTCAGATTGCTGGGTCATTTGGTAGTTCAATTCTTAATTTCTTGAGGAATCACCAGACTGCTTTCCATAGTGGCTGTACCAGTCAACATTCCTACCAGCAGTGAATGAAGGTTTCCTTTTCTCCACAACCTCTCCACCACTTACCTTGTTGATAATGGCCATTCTAACAAGTGTAAGGTGGTACCCCATTGTAGTTTTAATTTGCATTTCCCTAATTGCCTGTGAGGTTGAACATCTTTTCTTATATCTATTGGCTGTTTGTATGTCTTCTTGGGAGAGGTATATTTTCAAGTGTGCCGGAAGTTGGGCGCCATTTAACTTCGAGGTCTTGATCTAATATCTAGAAGGGTTCACAAAACCTGGAGAAGGGGCTGTGCGTAAATTAAACGAGTGCAGAGACTAAACAAATTTTGAAAGGCATTTGGGGGAGGGGCGAAGAGGCAGAGGAGCCTGGATAAAGAAACCAAGTTCTTCTCATCTCAGGACCCCTTGCTTTTTATTAACACAATTTGTCCTAAGGCAAGGTGAAGATAGACACAGAATCCATTGTCATATTGGGGAATTGCCTTTGGTTGTTCAGGTGTTTGGCTAACGGAAGGCAATAACATGTAGATTGAAATGGCCTGAGCTGTCTGGTAGCAAGCAATCAATTTATGTATCCTTTTCAGGTTTGGGGAAATGCCTTTCAGCCATCCCAGCAGGCAGTAACATATGTGACTCAGCCCTTGTTGAGTCCCCAAGTTCATGCCTTTCAATGAAACTCTTGTAATTATGACATGCTGGAATTGGCTTCTGGCACAGGTGCTCTGTAGGGCTCCCCTCCCCCACTTTTTATTTTTTGGTAATCCTCACCTGACATTTTTCATTTTAAAAAAATATTTTTTATTGATTTCAGAGAGGGAGAGGGAGATAAACATCAACAATGAGAGAGAATCACTGGCTGGCTGCTTCCTCTGGGAAACGAGTCCACAACTGGGCATGTTGCCCTTGGCTGGAATAGAACCTGGGACACTTCAGTCTGCAGGCTGATGCTATCCAATGAGCCTAACCAGCTGAGGCAGGACAATTTTCCATGGATTTTAGATGGGAGAGAGGGGAAAGATAGAAATATCAATGAGAAACACCCAGATTGGTTGCCTCTTGAATTTGCCTGACCAGGGCCTGGGCTGGGGAGGAGCCTGCGACCAAGATCTGTGCCCTTGACTGGAATAGAATCTGGAACCCTTCTATCTGCAGGCCAATAATCTAGCCACTGAGCCAAACCCACTAAATGCAAGGCACAACCCTAGATCCTGGAAATATGTATTATGACTATCACACAACTCAGTATTTTTGTTTTAAATGATTGATTTTAGAAAGAGGAGAGAGGGAGAAACATCAGTTGACACCTCCTACATAACTCCCCCATCCCCCTCAATCAGGGATTGAGCTCCCAAATCTGGGCATGTGCCCTGAGGGGAATTGAACCAGTAACCTTTTGGTGCATGGGATGATGCTCAATCAACTCAGTCACACTGGCTTGGGCAGAGCACACCACTTTGCATTTCTTAGTGCTTCTTTTTCAATTCTTTTGGCATATCTAAATAGCAGAAAGTATGTACATACAAAATAAGTTCCTAAAATGGTTTTAGTATTGGCCATTTTTTAAAAAAGGCATTTTTCTTCAAGATTGTTTAGAAAACTAAAAAAAAAAAAAAAAATATGACTCTAAAGAGGGGAAGAGAAACATTGTTGGGTTGCCTCCCACATACTCCCTAACCAAGGACTGAATCTGCAACCTGGGTATGTACCCTGACTGGGAATTGAAATATAGTGGCAACCATACTTTGGTAAAAACTGCTGTTTGAATTGAAAATTGCTGGGGCAATTTTCCTGTGCCTGGGACCATAACCTTTGGAGATTAACCACTGAATTCTGCTTCTGCAAGATAGGGCCACATTCCAATGTCCAGTAGGATGTGACTGGGAACGACCCTGCGGGCTGACCCGTTTTTAGAATATAGTCTTTAGGATTTAGAATTTAGAACAAAGGAAAATTCCTGTGGTTTGAATTGTTGCAGAGTTCCCTAGCAGTCAGCCGGTGCAGGGGGAGAGTTTGGAGAGACTTGCTTTGTTCATTGCGCAATGGGCTTAGGGAGGATGAATTCAAATTCTCAGCAAGGTTACAGGCAGAACTTCCTTTCTTTTTTTTATTAAAGAGCCAGCCCTATGTGCACTTAGTGGTTATCTCAATGCTGGCCTTAAAAACAATACAGTTCTATCCAATTGAAAAAGTGCACCAGGCATGGTATTGAGATTGTGGGCATATCTGGTCTCTGGCCTACAAGGTCAGACAGCAACATTTTGTCTAGGAAGAACAGCAGAAAATTCCAAACAACAGTTTGTTGCAAAATAGGGGTTTTCCTTCTCAGAACCTTTAAAAAGAACTACCTGCCCCTGAAGCAGCGCAGTCGTGTGGAGTCCGCCTGTGTGTGGTGCTCTTGCGGCTGTCCTGGCCAGATATTTCAATAAACCTTTGCCTGCTTTTTTTAACCCACCACACCTTTTGATATATGGGATGACGCTTCAATTGAGCCACTCTGGCCAGAGCCAGTCACTGATTCCTTTATTTTGAAAGTTTGAATTGTCCAATATGTGTAAAGTGCATTCTTGCAGCTAATCAATAGCAGCATTTTTGTTTATAAAACCTTAAGAAATATTCAGCCAAGAGCTGGAAAAGTCACAATATAAAAGAAAGTATGATTTATATATCTTCTTCCTTAATCACTCAAGATAAACACTTTGCATGAATTAGTTTATGAGTATACAAGAAATATACAAAAAAACCCACCATATCATTATTAAAAAAGTCCAGACGGCAATGAAAAGAGGGTCTTTCTTTGCTGTTAATATTAAATATGGCAAGGGGTATAATATTAAAAGTTCGTTGAATCCTAGATGTCTTTGGGAAATCTTTGATCTAGGCCAGTGCATAATGTATCTGAGGTCTGTGAGAGTCAACAAAGCTGGACTTCTCCTGGCATGGTTTTGGAGAAATCACCAACACAATGAAAATGTTCTCTCATTACCGAGACTGTCAGTTCATGGCTTCTTGCGCCTAAAATGCAAAAACAGCATTTAGTGTTGAATTTTGCTATCAATTTCACATTCAGGGTAATTTAATCTTTAGGAGAGCTTTAAGATAATTCAACCAAAGGACCTGCACGCATGTATATGAGCATAACCAATGGACAGAATGGGGAGTAGGGGAGGAGGGCATGTTTTGGGGGATGGGGAGAAGTCAATGGGGGGAAAGGAGACTTATGTAATCCTTTTAACAATAAAGAATTTAAAAAAAGATAATTACTGATTTTATCGTGGGAAATATTCAAGTCTTCTGAGAAAGCAAATAACTGTTACCAAGTATGCTTATCTAGTATTAAACTTAAAAACAGGACTTCTTCCCATCTTTATCCTGCTTCAGCGATTTTATATATTGCCTAAGGAATACATGTGTTAAATATGAACACATGGACTTAGTAAAACTCCTTCTCAAATATTTACTAATATGAAAAAAGACTGTGATCTGGAATGGTCTTTAGAGATCATCCAAGACTCCTGGATATGTGTTTAATAGAAGAGGGAAAGTATAAATTTCACCATTGTTTTACTCTAGTGAATACTTAATTGTATTAAATGAGCTATCATCTCTGACAAAAGCCTTTAAGCTCCCCTCCTTATAAGTGATCTCAGTTCAGCCTCTGAAAGCTTTGACCATTGGCAGAATGTGAACAAGAGTGAGCCAATCTTCCATCTCCTGTTCTTGCAGCTCCACTTGCTCTTTTTTTTTTTTTTTTAAAATATATGTTATTGATTTTTTACAGAGAGGAAGGGAGAGAGATAGAGAGCTAGAAACGTCGATGAGAGAGAAACATCAACCAGCTGCCTCTTGCACACCCCCCACCGAGGATGTGCCCACAACCAAGGTACATGCCCTTGACCGGAATCGAACCCGGGACCTTTCAGTCACAGACCGACGCTCTACAATTGAGCCAAACCGGTTTCGGCTCCACTTGCTCTTATCAAGCCTCCCAAGGTCCTTGGCCCTGTTGCTGCCCACTGCAGTCTGCCAGTAGGCCCAGGTATTCCAAGGGGTAAGCAAAAACCACTTATGACCTCTGAAAAGAAGTGGATGGCAGGGAGGAGGGTGGTGTTGGAAGTACTAGAGGGGAAACATATAGGCCCCAATTACCCAGTACTCACTTGGGTTGTGCATGATGCTGATATCCAGGTCCCAGCTGAGACCCTGCTCTCATCTCTACAGCCACAGAGCACTGATAGGAAAATGACAGAGGAGGCAAAGATCAGTTCCTCTCAGAAGTCTATAAAACACAGTTCTGTTTAGATAGGTTCCATCAAGGTGAACTCCACCTTACTTTTCTAGTTCAGCACAGGAACCTGTTAAAATACCAGTCAGGTTCTGCAGCTTATTTGACATAGGCCACAAAGACTGTGATCTGGAATGGTCTTTAGAGATCATCCAAGTAAATTTCCTCATTTTAGATAAAGAGGAGTTCTTGAGAAATTAGTGGCCACAGCTTGCCCTGGCTGCCACCTTCACATATGAGCCTCTTCTTAGGAATAACAGTTCCATAGCAAAGTTCTGCTTCTGAGAGATTCCCCTTAATCTGAAGTGAATTCTTGTTATCCTAGGGCAGCAATTTTCAACCTTTTCTCATCTCATGGCACACAAGCTAATTACTAAGATTCTGCAGCAATACTAAAAATACTTTATCTGACAAAAAAAAATTATATACTTTTGATTCATTTACAAAAAATAAATAAAAAAATAATAGTAATTATCCACCCTTTTTGCTCCAATGCGATTTTTTTAAAAAAAAATCAGGTGCCTACACATGTATGTAAGGATTTCTGGTACCAAAAATTAACCAAACAAACATAAACTTATTATGTGACATGACCAATAAGATGCAACTTCAACATTATATTACCTATATATTTATGGTGTAAGACAGGGCTGCACTGGCAATGTGAGATCAGATGTCAGCTACTTCAAAGAGCATGAAAAGCTAAGGCTGTGGGGCTTAAAATATGACACCCTTAATTTTTATTAAGCAAACAAGTATTTAATTTTTACCCCTACCCTGGTTTCTACATCGGTCCATTCAGACTCTGCACCATCTGGTTGGGCAGGTGCTACTGTGGAAGATCTTCGTTTTCGACTGGAAAAAGGGGAAAACGATGCAACAATTATTTTTGTATCTAACAACAGACAACATTAGAAATAGGGGAAATACCACTCCAGTTTTTCAGAGAACAAAAACAATATTTTTACAGGCTAGTCTATTCCTGGAGAATGAGCAGCTAAGAAAGCGACAGCCCTCTAAAGAAAAACGTTTGATGATCACTCACCCAGTCGGTGATTCTTGTTTCAAAGTCTCAATATCAGTAAACTGAACAGCTTGTCCGCCACCCCGTGTTTTGTACACATCACCCTAGAGCCAAGAGAAAAGGTCACCATTACACTTTCATACATCCAAATAGTAAACATACAGATATACTATAAATTGATTCTGCAATCACAAAACCAGATGGTGCTTGGGACTGCTGGGCTTGTTCTATTAAAATACTTTAGAAATTTGAATACATCTTTCTCACTAAACAAGAGGTCTAATGTGATATAATTAGTACCATTCTTAATTGCAGAAAATAGTATTCCTTTTCATTCAACTTATCATATAAAAATTATGCTTAAGATCAAGAAATTTGACAGAAATTTCTAAATGTTCTAAGGCATTATACTTTCTCGTGTGCCATTCCCTTTATATTCAAATAACCGTCTTCTAAATTGAATTTAAAATTTAAAACTTTTTTCTAGTCTTATCTTTTACTTCCCTGATTACTCATTGACTATGTTCAGGGGGAAATTCTTCAATAGACAGAAAAGGAAGGGCTTTGGGTAGCTCAATCCTAAGTAATTTTGATAGGTCAAATTTTAATGTGGGCTTTTTATCTTGAACTGACAAGAAGCAAAGGTAGTTCTTTGTTTAGGTTTACTTTTTAAGTAGGGGTTAAAATGAAATACACATTAATTAAAAGTACATAATAAATCTGGTATTCCTCTAACAAACCTGAGACTCTAAGCTTCATTAAATAGAAAGCAAATTTAGTCTTAGTCTTGGTTTACAGATTCACATCCTAAGCAGTTACTTTAGTTTTGAGATATCATATACCCATTTATGTCCCAGTGGACATTGCCTGTGTGTCATCAAAGGAATGGAAGGGCAAATGGATTTTTGTTGGCTTTTTGAACATTTTTTCACCTATACAAATTTGTTTTTACCTTAATTAGTTTAGTTTCAATCTCCCCATCGGAGGCTAGTTCTTGGTGGGTCAGCATGTACTTCTCACACTTAGCTAGTGTCTTTTCATTGGCAACAGACACTGTGATGGCATGAGGGACATGTGGCTGCATGACTGTTGCAGTTTGCACGTTAGAGGCAGGCTTATGATCTACCCATCTGTCTCCTGCAGAGCGTGATCGTCTGTGGCGGAGACGCAGTGGTGGTGCGTTCTGATCAAGTTGAAAGGAATCAAGAAACAAGCATAACCCAGAATTAATTTAAGGGTATTATTAGAAGTGCAGCAGGTTTGGCTACATTAGTTGCTGACAATAGCAAAAACAAATGTATGAACTTTTTTCAAAAGCTAAGTATATTATTCAAATGCTATAAATGTCCTCTTTGAATTTAAAAACAAAACCAACAAGCATCTTTTAACACCAGCGTGTATATTATATATTCTACCAGGAACTTCCCTTTCAACAAAGAATGGAAGGAAAAATTCTGGTAATGCTGTTAGTCTTTCCTGTGTAGGTAGTATTTAAGATAAAATCATTTCATATTCTTGATCAAAACCCAATATTTGTGTTTGCTATTGTGAGGTAATCTATTAGGCCCACAACTATGTTAAAAGCTTCAATAACATCAATAGAAGCCTAAACATTTCATAGATCTCTAAATAAAAGAGAAAATATGCCTTATACAAAGACAAAAAATAAAAAATAAAAGCTGATTGGGCTGTATAATATAAAATGCTAAAGAATGTAAGGTAAAATTAAGAACCCCGTGTATAAAATAATTAAACAAGTATAAATAAAGTAGTTCTGAGTATTTTCTGAAATTTTAAAATCTCTAAACAGAAGTTCATTAAAAAGTCAAATATAACAATGGCTATAACATATCCCCACCCCCCAAACATTTCATAAATGGTTCCAAGAACCAGATAAAGAATATAATGTCAGCCCTAGCCAGTTTGGATCAGTGAATAGAGAGCCCTGGCCTATGGACTGAAGGGTCCCAGGTTCGATTCCGGCCAAGGGCACATGCCTGGGTTGTGGGCTTGATCCCCAGGAGGGGCTTGCAGGAAGAAAATTTGAAATGATTTAAAACTCAATAAAATATATTAAACTCAACAAAATATATTAAAAAACGAAGAATATAATGTCAAACCAATCTCTATCATACAATGAAAAACTGAGTCCAAGTCAAATGTCATGTAATTTGGAAAAATTAAATTTAGTATATTCAATTTGAGAAAACATATTTCACTTAAGACATAGTTAATAGTTGGAAGCAATGAGTTATCTTTGGTAATTTGCCAATATGTTTGTTTGTAAAACTGAAAGCAAATGACACAGTGTACCAAAGGCCAAATCCTTCCAAGCTAGTTAAGCATGAAGACCCCAATATCAAAATGCTTATTTAGAGCCCTAACGCATTTCCCCTATATAATTAGAAGAAACACATGAAACACTAATGATACATCATGACAGCATCGAACACAGGCAGTACAGTTTGTCCCAAAAGATGCCCAAGCTTCACAGCAAGCAGGAAACTTTCCATTCCAAGACAGTCTGGCTCTCACGATCTACCATTTAGCAAAAGTGACAGTTTTCTTAAGCACATTTAGCAATAAATATATTCTGAAACAAGCTTCAGAAAGACCTTACAATCTACTACAATTTATGAAATAAATGGTATTTAAAATTTCATCCTTACTGAAGTATAATTTCAACCTTCAGGACATAATTTTTGACCAACAAACCTAAATGCATAGATACTAGACTAAACTTTTCTGCTGCACTTCTTAAGAGATTTTGATTTCAAATGAGAAGTTCAAGTATCTCTAGTAAATCCTCTTAAATATCTCCTAGCTAAATTAGGTGTTAAATTAATGTTGACCAGGCATAAGCATACCATGAGTAGTTTTATCTGTAAGCTTTCATGAAATAAAGAGGATTTACTAGAGTTGATCAGAAAGACCAGTCACCATAATTTGCTCCCTAAAAAGGTTTAAAGCAGAATCTGCAGAGTACAGAACTTAAGAGACTTTAAAAAAAAATCAAAGGCAAATAATTACAATAAGATTAATATGTTTAGAAGAAAAAAATTTAAAAGAGCTATATATTAAGATTTTACTAAATGTAAGTTCACACTAGTAACTTGGTTCATTTATTCAGATTTAGGGGGAAACTTTACCTTCATCCTTAAGAAGAAAATGTAAATGTGAATTTATTTAAACACCCTTGATTGAGGCAGAGCCCTTGTAAATTGAAATAAAGGCCTTGAAATTAAAAGCAATTTATTGGGCATGCAGACCTTTAGTAGTTATAAAATAACTGGCCTGAACTCTTCAAAATAGTCAATGTCAGGAAAATCAAAAAAGAGCCGAGGCCCTAACCCGTTTGGCTCAGTGGATAGAGCGTCAGCCTGTGGACTGAGGGGTCCCAGGTTCAATTCTGGTCAAGGGCATGTACCTTGGTTGTGGGCACATCCCCAATAGGGGGTGTGCAAGAGGCAGCTGATTGATGTTTCTCCCTCATTGATGTTTTTAACTCTCTATCACTCTCCCTTCCCCTCTGTAAAAAAATCAATAAAATATATATATTTTAAAAAGAGCAGAGGACTATATTATACTAAAAGAGGTTAGAGACATAACAACCACATGCAAAGCATTCACCTTGATAGAATCATGAATGGAAAACAAAAAAACTGTTACTGGGACAACTGGGAAAATGTAAACATGAACTATATATCAGAGGACATTTATTCATAGTTAATATTACCTTTCTTTAGTGTGGTAAAGATTATGGTTATATAGAATTATGTCCTTATTCTTAGGGATAAAGTATCATGAAGTCTGACTACATTCAAAGGCTCAAGGGAAAAAATGTTTACGTATCTATATAAAGTAATAACTGCTACATCTAGGTAAGGGGGAAAAATATACAGTACCGTTCTTTCAACTTTTCTTTTGGTTTGAAATTTTTCAAAATAGAAGTTGAAAAGATAGTTTTAAAAAGTAAAAGTCAAAAAAATAAAAGTTCAAAAGCAGCAGCAAAAAAAAAAACTAACTGGGGAAGAAACCATAAGAAAAAAAAATGTGGAGCCTGACCGGTGTGGGTCAGTGGTTGAGCATCAACCCATGAACCAGGTCATGGTTGTATTCCCCGTCAGGATACATGCCCAGGTTGGGGGCTTAATCCCAAGTAAGGGGGCAGGCAGGAGGCAGCCAATCAATGATTTGCTTTTATCATGGTGTTTCTCGCTCTCTCCCTCTCTGAAATCAACAAAAAAATGTATTTTTTAAAAGAATCAGAAAATGTGCTACAACACTCATGTTCACAAGCTCATTAGCTTATGCAACTAAAAGGCAGAGTACTCTGGCCTGTGCCCTACTGACCTGACCCTGTGTTCACTGAACACAGGCATTAAAAAAAAAGTTTTTAGTATTTTTTGTTATTATTTTAAAATCTTTTTTACTTTGTTTTTATTGATTTCATAGAGGGAGAGGGGAAGAGAGAAAAACATTGACTAGCTGTCTCCAGCATGCCCCCTACATGAAACCTGGGTGTGTGCTCTGACCAGGAAAGAAACCATCACCTACTGCTGCATGGGATGATGCTCAACCAATTGAGCCACTGGGCCAGCTTCTTCAGCTCAAGAGCTAGGCCTCAATTTTGGGATGATTTGATCTTTCAAATGAATATAAAAATTAGACCTTGTTTATAATGGATCTCACCCACCTTTCTGTCGAATTTTCTTTAAAAATTTTTTTTAATTGATTTTTTTACAGAAAGGGAGAGGGATAGAGAGCTAGAAACATCGATGAGAGAGAAACATCGACCAGCTACCTCCTGCACTGGGGATGTGCCCGCAGCCAATGTACATGCCCTTGACCAGAATCGGACCTGGGACCTTTCAGTCTGCAGGCCAACGCTCTATCCACTGAGCCAAACCGGTTTCAGCCTGTTGAATTTTCTGAACCAAGTTATAAAAACACAAGATTAAATTCTATTGCTATAATGCTTTAAAAAACACTGGCACTAACCCTGTAGCATTGATCCTCTTCTACTTCTATCTCATTCCTGAATGTAGGAACCAACTCCCTGCCTTCAGTCCAGTACATCCCTCGCCTTCTGTCTGACACGATACAAGTTTTACTTTGTCCTGGCTCCTGCTGCCTACGCCTTGCAATGGATGTGACATTGGGAGGTGTGTTGTACGAAGGAATTTTCTGCTCCCATTCCGAAATACAGGAAGCTACTGAGATGCTGCTGCAAGAGTTAGAGCGCCTATGTAGTTGTGGTTGGCTCATGAGTTGCTGGCCGTTGGAAATCTGAGCAATATAGTTATCAGAAAGCTAAAAAAATTGAAAAGAAATTAATGAGCAAGACTGAAAAACTGAGAGAAAGAATTCATTACTTTTCTATAATTTAACACAAAGATATTGTAATTATTTGTACTAAATTACATTTTTATACTAAATTTGTGTTTATACTAGATTAAAACAATTAAATTGAAGTCTGAGAAATATAAGTAATATAAAACAAAAAGTTGATTCTCATAAAAACAGTCACCTAATCTAACCCTAAATTACTACACAACTACAAATAACGTACAGGTACTGGCGATGGAGAAACAGATCTTGGAGTAGCTTTTTCTCGATCCCGCTCCCGAGAGGGTCTCTCTGGCTTTTCAGATTTGGGTTCAGTAACAATAGCCTTCAGTTGTTTCAGTTTTTCATCTTTCACCCAGAGTTTATTTTGCATCTCCAATTGTTTAGCTGCCACTCGCCGCTCCTATGGATTATCAATAGCAATAGACGTTCTAATTCAATTACACTATACAAGTACACCACATTACTAAACACTGTCATAAAAACTATAGTTCTCCAATTCTTCCTGAGTAACTATACTCCATAATGTTAACGAATTTCAAGGGCAGAGAAAGGAATGAACTGAATAGGCAACTATTGCCGCCACCACCAAAACCCTAACCCAGGAAGTCATTCAAAACACTACAATTTGAAATAAATCACCCATCTCTGCGATAGGCAGAGGGATGACACTCACGCATTCTTTCTCCCACTTCATTGTTGTTTCCGTCACCATGCCTTGCAATCTGGCTTCTAGTCTGCGTTTGTCAGAAAACTGTTGTTGAAGTTTTTGATTCTGGGCTTCAAGTTCCTGTTGCAGATTGCGCTTATCTTCTTCATAGATAGTAGTTGTTTTCTCTAAAATTTCAATCTGGAAGGCAGACCATTATGTTCAATAATTAGCATGTAAATATTTCATGTAGCTTTAAAACAATCTTTTATAATTAGTTTATGGCAAGCAGAATTGTGGAAAGAAAAAATCATAGATAAAGCATTTTCCTCTAAAATTTCATCTGAATTTACTACCTTAATTCCTAGAAATGAGAACTTTTTAAACATGTTCTTCACTGAAAAATGAAGTTATAAACGATTTAATGTAAAAATTATTTCCCCCTAAAATTCAGGCCTCCTCCTCCTTCTTCTTCAAATACATTTTTATTGATTTTTTTACAGAAAGGAAGGAGAGGGATAGAGTAAGAAACATCAATCAGCTGCCTCCTGCACACCTTCCACCAGGAATGTGCCCGCAACCAAGGTACATGCCTTTGACTGGAATCGAACCTGGGACCTTTCAGTCCGAAGGCTGACATTCTATCCACTGAGCCAAACCAGTTAGGGCTATTTTTTCTTCTTCTTGTCAGCCAGGTCATCCTAACAGTCTGAGTTCCCAAACACTGGACTGCTGCTTGCTTGGGCCTAAGTCTTTAGTCACTGGGCCTGTGCTAGTGGAGGTTGGTCAATGTTGGAGAAAGATGTTGCTTTTCCTATATCTATCATGCCTCAGGCCCAGGTCTCTGGACAGATGACTATTGTTCTGGCAGTGAGAAGGGCACCACGGATTATATTGAGAGGTGTGTTGTACGAAGATGGAGTCAGAACAGACCTTGGTTCATCAACCTCAGTAGAGTTCTGGCTAAGAAAGAATTCAGAGCCAACACTCAAACAATAAGACAGTTATTTAGAAAGTCACAGAGGTAGAAGTGAGCAGTGAAGAAAATAAGTTAGAGATGCAAAAGGGGCCTTTGGAGCTTAGGAAAGACAAAGCTAAAGGTCACATGTGGGGGTGGGGCGGGGGATGGGAAAGGAGCGGTGGTCCTCCACAGGCAGAGTGCCAAGCCTAAATTTTTATTTTTAAATTTATTTCATTATTATTTTTTAAAATTCTCAAACGAGGATATGTTTCCATTGAATTTAAAAAAGAGACGAAGGGAAGAAAAGAGGGTTGAAGGGAGGGAGGGAGGAAGATTGCTTGGTTGCCTCGATATACTCCCATGACCAGCATTGACAGTGCCACCTTTTGGTGTATGGGACAACACTCCAAACAAATGAATCAATCAGCCAGAACCTAAAATTTTATTTTTAAGGTTGTTTTGGTTGAGATTAACTTATCTCTAAAATGAATGTTCCCCCCTAAATGATCCTCTATAAATGAGTGAACAAACATATATTGTTCCAGTAATAAGTTAAAAAACCAAGCTATAATCAAAGCTAAATTCTAGAAAACCCTTTATAAAGCTTACTTGTTTGGGCCAGAGAACATTTTCTTCAACTGTTAACATCTAACTCATAAAATTAAAGAGTATAACATCTCTTTTATGCTTTTCACTCACATTTCCTCTTTTTGGGGGGTGGTAGGTTGAAGATTAGTAAATAACTAAGTGATAACTCTTAGCAGTATTTACAGACCTGGAGAGCATAAGGATTAAGTCAGAGAACAGGAGCAAATAGCCATTCTAATAGTCAAAACCAACCTTATATTCTAAAGTTTTGGTTTTTTTCTCCAGTCGTTCTATTTCCAATTTTTGTCCTGATATCACCTTTTCTTTTTCATTCAGTTTTCCTTGAATGGAGTATTCTTTATTTGAAACACCTTTGTCAAATTCTTGCAACATACCTTTAAAAGTAAAAGCTGAAACAAAAGCACGCAGGTTTTGTTTATTCCAATTCCAAAATACAAACACATTCATCTCTTTTAGCCGATACTATAAAGTCTTTCCTTTTGCACTATGACATCCCAATCCTTATGGGTAAATAACTGGCTTTAAAACAACAAATACAAAACCAGAAATAACATATTTATCCTAGGAACAGAGCCAAATGGAATCCCTAGTCACCATTTACTAGTTATGTAACTCGGGCAAGTTATTTTTCTGAGCACATTTCCTCGTTTCAAAATGGGAATTTAAATACCACGTATCTCATACCTGTTTTTGGGTGAAGATGAAAATAAATTGGTGATGGTGCTAAAAATAGATACATTACTGAGCACTATGTACCAGGCTGTTCACTCTTCCACCTGATTTTCTTTCTTTCTTTTTTTAAAATATATTTTATTGATTTTTTACAGAGAGGAAGGGAGAGGGATAGAGAGTTAGAAACATCGATGAGAGAGAAACATCGATGAGAGAGAAACATCAACCAGCTGCCTCTTGCACAGCCCCTACTGAGGATGTGCCTGCAACCAATGTACATGCCCCTGACCGGAATTGAACCTGGGACCTTTCAGTCCGCAGACCGACGCTCTATCCACTGAGCCAAACTGGTTTCAGCTTCCACATGATTTTCATAAATTATCTCACAACACCCTCTGAAGTAGGAATAATTACAATCCCCATTTGCAGACAGGGGACTAAGAAAGAGAGGATTAAATAATTTGCCCAAAGGTATAGTTATAAAGTGCCTTGGAAATAAGTACCTAGTAACAACTACAAGTAGCTATTATTCCTTTGTGTACATCACTGTTAGTTTTAAAATGGGAAAGAATACACACCAACTTTTTTCATTTGCTTTACTTTCTTGGGGGGGAAAAAATCCATGGGAAAAGTTTCTTGTTATTCTAATTAAACAATGCCTTAAGCACTATTATACAAGTGCAAAGAGAGACAAAATAATCCTTTCTTAGAGATCCACCCCACTTCAAAACTCAGATTCATTGCAAATTTCTAGAGTTAAAATGATTATAAAAGGTTTTGGCCTTACATTGTTTGGTAAACTCATCAATCATCATTTGTCGTAGCTGATGGCGTTTCTCTAATGCTTCAATAAGCCTGGGGAGAGTCTGCTCATCATTGATATCCAAAATCTCGCAGGGCGGCAATGGTGGAAAACTCTGTAAGACCACGTCTGTGACCAACAGTTCTGTATTGAATTATAGAAAATTATAAAGGGTTCCACAGGAGAGAAAGAACTTATTTAAACAAGTTTAACACTGATTAGAGCTACAGTCCAATTAACTGTGTTTTCTTACGTTGTCATAATTATACATTTAGCTGTAAAGAGAAAACCAGGAAAAAAATGAGTTATATGTAACAAAAGAAGTCTCATTTATATACTGATTCAGATTTCTTTTTGCACTTGGTGCTTGAGGGTAAGGGAAATGAACAGTTTTCTCATGTGACATAGATTGTAAAGACAGACAGACTAATCAGTGAGCAAATAATCTGATTCCAAAACATACCATCTCCAACTGGACCTGCCCGACCGTGGTTCCGGTATCGCCGTCCAGGTGTTAAACCGCATATTGCCTTATCTACTGGTCTTGCAACTTCAACTTCCTGGGTCACTTCTGCAAATCTCATGACTTGCTAAGACACAAAACAAATGGGAGATTTTTGATTGTTTGTTCTTCTTGTTTTTACAAATAAACCTATCTCAAGTCCTGACTTGGAAATTACTATGACACAATATTAAATTGGCCAATAGCTCATTTCTGTAACTGATGGTTCTGCAACAGTTTTTTAAATGTTCAAAATGTCATTCTTCACAGACAGTTGATAGTGTTTTCTCTGTAGAAACCTGAAACTGTATAGGATAAATACATTAAAATTACCATGCTTTCTTCATAATCTTCAGCCTTTGGATTCACACACACGATCATGCGTACTTTTCCTTCCCCATCAAAGTAGTTCTTGAACAGATGGGTTAACTTTGAATCTCGATATGGAACCATCTATAAATACATTAAACTCCAAATAAACATGTAAGGCAAAAAAAAAGCATACAAATAAAACTATATACATGAAAGGCTGTTACTTACCTTGTTAGTTCCATACATTTGGTTCTCTCTCAGGACTTCCATACATGTTCTTAGCGTCATTAGTGATTGGTTAATGTTACCTAACAGAAAAATATACACAGAAGGCATCTGAAAAAAACGTGTAGTCTGTTTGGCTATAAAACCCCTATTACATACAACTATTAGACGGAATTAACAGATTTTAGTGGCTCAATTTAAAGAGCTGTCCATGCATGGTCTGGCAGTATTTTAATAGCATTTTCAGGAGAGGTTGAATACTAGCTTTCAGGGATTCAATGAATGCAACATTATACTTCATGACCCATTTTCTTCCAAATCTTAAATTCCGTGAAATAGTATATTAGATGTAGATGTTTAATGTCCTCATATAAAATATGATCTCTAAAGCATAGCCATTTCAGGCTACAGCTGGCTCTATCAACACTGAAATTTCTCCTACACCCAGAGGGGCTCCTGTTTCTAAGTCAAATGCCAGCTAATACTTGTCCCTTCCACTAAACTTACAAGCATTTCTTAGGTGGCTTACTTGTTACTTTAGACCACTCTTGTTTGGATTTCTGAACTAAGACAAGTCTGACAGATTAATCAAGCCTCCAATAGCACAGGAGATCTCACCTGCATAAACCCCAAAAGTGCGTAAGAATTTGTTTATTTTGGAACTCTGATTAAGGTTGATTAACTCAATCATGTTTTCATCCTTGGCTACCCTCTCAAAACACATGGCTCATCTGTACCCTCATAATATTCCATGATTCATGATTTATTTTCCTTTACCCTCAATTCCTAATGTTCTTTCTTCTACCACTGTGCTCTCAGGAACATTTGTTAACAAATGTTCCTAAATCCTCAAAGTTCTCATAGAATGATCCACTCATTTCTTTCCCTCATGGTCAGGTGTCCATACTGTCCATGCATATATTTCAGGGAGTCTATGGGAAAGTCACAAATTATTTGTTTTTATAGCACTTATAGTTATTGCTAATCTCAAGATATTTATATTCATTACTACTTTGAAAGTATGTATTATAGTTACTAGACCTGCTGCTGGGTTTTTATTTAAAGCAGTACATAAATTACTATGTTTTAAGCATACTTTAAAAAAAAGTATTTCAACCTAATTGGTTTCCTTTACAAACCTATGTATTTTATGTCAGATATTAAAAAATATTCTGGAAAATGTCCACAGGCTTTACCCTGTACCCATGGCACAAAGCCCTGAAACCTTACCTTTATTTTCCTGTAAGGGTAGTGCTTTCCCCCTGCAGCACTTTTTGAGTAAAAGCTGCTTGTTTTCTGAAGCCCCACATTTATAAGGATGGTGAACAGAGGGAGGCCAGCAACGTTTTCCTATTTCCTTGCTATTGCCTTGTAATATCCCTCCTACATGTAGCCAGCTCCTGGGTCATTTCAGTGTGCATGCCCCAACCACAATCTTCTTTTCTTATAGCTCTCACTCCCTAAACTTGTGTTTCTCATCCATATTAACAATGATAGTCCTTCCTGTTTCTTCCCCCTAAGCATCTGAACCGTCAGGTTTAAAACAAACAACAACAACAACACCCATAAACAAATAAACCCCTCAGGTTTCCAGTTGTTCCCAATCCAACTACACCTCTTTCCACATCAGGTTTATCCTTCTTATGATCTGAATTCCAGATTCCTGATCTTCTTATACAGTAGTCCTCCCATATCCACAAGGGATACATACCAAAACCCCCAGTGGATGCCTGATTCCATAGATAGTATCAACCCCTATATATACTATGTTTTTCTCTACACATCTTTATTTATAATAAAGTTTAATTTATAAATCAGGAGAAACCAAAATGGCAGCATAGGTAAACATCTGAAATTGCTGCCTCGCACAACCACTTCAAAACTACAACTAAAAGACAAAATGGACATCATCCAGAACCACAGAAAGACTGGCTGAGTGGAAATTCTACAACTAGAAGGAAAGAGAAAAGCACACAGACTCAGAGGAGGTGCAGATGTAAATTGCAGAGGTACGGAGGCATGTGCACAAAGAGGGCTGGCAACTGAGGACGTGGTTGTCTTTTTCAATCAGGAGGGAGACATAAGCTGCCAGCTGCTCTGAACTCCAGTTCCAGGTGAGACACTGGGGACCCAGACTCATATGGGGAGAAACTGGACTGTCTGACATTGGGCGGAACTCAAGGGCAGAACTCAAGGGCAGCTTTCTCTCAGCTGTGCTTGCAGTGATTACCGAGGGGCACTGAGATCCAGGGGCCTCTTAAGACAGCATAGCTGTTTGCTCCACTCTGTTAATTCTCTGAGACCCCGCTCCACCCAAGCTGTGTACAGAGGCTTTTGCATATGAATGGCCTGGCCCTTTGCAATCTAAAATTAACTAACATACTGCAGCTGGGTCAGAGAGACCCAAAACACCCAAAAGAAGGGCCAAGGCCCCACAGCAGCTTGCATTGCTACACAGCTGAGCCTCATCTGAGTACCTCCAAAACCCAGACAAAGAAGAGAAATCTGCAGATCTCTCTGTATCTCCTGCTGGATGGCCTCAGGCAGAGGCTAAATTAGCACCTCTTTAGAGATTCAAGAGCCACTGTACCCAGTGGTCAGAATGGGACCATCCAGATTAAAACTCCTCAGATCCATAAGGAACCTACTCAGGGGGCAGATTCGGTGAGCACCAAAGCCCCACTGAAGGAAGTCTTGCCTGGTGAGGGTGTCTCCAGCACAGAAGTTCTCCCAGCGTAGACACAGCTGATCCTCATAGGCACTTGGCCTGGAGATCAATTCATCCCAGGGATACCAACAACAATCAAGGCTTAATTACAACAAGACTGTGCACACAGCCTACAAAGGGGTGCACCAAGCATGACCACCTCAGGTACTGGGGAGGCTGAGCCATTGGGCCATACAGGACACCTAGCACACAAAGCCACTCTAACAACACAGGGAAGTGGCCAAAATGTGGAGACAAAGAAACAGATCACAAATGACAGAAATGGAGGAAAGCAAACTACTGGTATAGAGTTCAAAACCATGGGTATAAGGTTTTTCAAGAATTTTCTAGAATCTCCCAATAAAATTTAGTGAGACTCTCGAGGATATGAAAAAGGACCAACTAGAAATTAAGCATACACTGACTGAAATAAAGAATAATATACAGAGATCTAACAACAGACTAGAGGATTGCAAGAATCAAGTCAAACGGGAAAAGGAGGGGGGTGTGGGAAGAGACTGAACATAAACTGTGCACCTATGGATGAGGACAATGGGGAGTGGGGAAAGGGCAGAGGGTGGGGTGGGAACCTGGTGGAGGGGAGCAATGGAGGGGGAAATAAATGAGGAACATTTGTAATAATATGAACAATAAAGATTTATTTTTTAAAAAAAGAATCAAGTCAAAGATCTGAAATACCAAGAAGAAAAAAAAAAAAACCCACAAAAAAACAAAACACACACACACACACACACACACACACACACACACACACACACAAAACAACCAACTAGAAAAGCAAAAAGCAAAAGAACCCAAAAATATGAAGGTAGTGTAAGGAGCCTCTGGGACAACTTCAAGCGTACCAACATCCGAATTATGGGAGTGCCAGAAGAAGAGAGCAAGATATTGAAAACCTATTTGAAGAAATAATGACAGAAAATTTCCCCCACCTGGTGAAAGAAATAGACTTACAAGTCCAGGAAGCACAGAGATACCCAAACAAAAGGAATCCAAAGAGGACCACACCAAGACACATCATT